AAAAGGCTTAAGTCGGGGAAGAGTGGACTACATATGTAACAAGCTGGGAGTATATGATATATACTCACCAGCTTGAGGGGGAGTGTTAGCGTAGGGGTATTTCTGTCTTTATACCTAGATTAATGTTGTTGATCTGTAATGTTGTGTTGGAACCAGTGCTCATCACTTAAATAAGGGCATATATGTCTTTTTAATTATTTTTAATAATATAAGTATTGTTTGGCCGACTGGGAGAAGATCATGTTGAGACTTCCAGTTCAAACCAGATTTTCTACCTTCTCTCTCTCTCTTTCTTCCACCTTTCTACTTTTTTCTACATACCGATCTCAGACATATAGAATTCCAAGGCAGGCCGAATCATAACAATGTTATTTAGCTTTATATTCCATTTTACTTCATATGCATCACAAATAAACAGAGTAAAGAGAAACCTATAACAAAATTAAGCCAAACAAAAGGCCCTTAATGTTTTCTTCAATCTTAATGGTTAAATGCTCTACAAGGCACTTAAGTAGTTTTGGAAATCATGGGGCTTTTTTTTTGGGGGGGGGGGGATGCCAATAGATAGAAAAGAAAAAGAAAAGCATGCTCAACAAAGCTTACATGGGATTAAACAAGTCATCATATAAGGGGTCCACGATACGCCAATGAGTGGAGTATAGCAAAATAAGCAATGGGAGGAGTTCGAAATGATGTATTTGCAATATGTAATCAATGACCTAATATGTTAAGGAGGTTTTGGGGTGACCTTCAACAAAGAGTTGATCATAGTAAATGCATCTTCCTCTATCTAAATCCTATACAGATCAAGAGAAAAGAAGAATCTCAGTGATTCCAATAAAGTTGTAGATTTCTCTTTCAATCGATGAATTAGCATTCAACTACAAATCTATAGTGGCCTCACAGTGGAAACAAAGATGATCAATGGTCTCCTCACCATTTATACAAATGCTTCAAGTGGTTAAAACACTTGCTTTTCTTATAAATTTTGTTATATAAATATAACCGATTAAGACCCAAACCGATCATATAGCCAATCATATATAAATATAGAGTTCTCTTGTTTTTCTTATAAATTTTGTTATATTTTATGTTTAGAGGGATAAGTTTCCTACAGTATATAAGATAAATATGGTTAAAACACTTGTTTCATAATAAATTGTCTTTTTTATTGAAGGTTACATTATAAAAACTAAAGTTCCAATAATTTTAGGTGATATTTGGCATCAATGCTGATTCTTCCTTATCATTTTTTTTTTCATTCAAAAACCAGCTTTGAGTCTATTTGATATTGATTTTTAAGGGCTGCTTTTTTATTAGAGTTATCATTCAATGCCATGTCATCCTCAGAAAAAATTGAGCCATATAGATCAAGTGATGCTTGGCATCAATGATGGTTTCCTAGAAGTAGATGCCATGTCAGATCCATATAAGCATTGGAAGAATTAGTGTTTTTTCATGTTTGGTTGGCCAATTATGCCAATTTTTGGGAAATCAGCAAAAAATTGATCCCCGGAATCGACCTGGGCAAGGGATCACAGAATTTGGTGATTCCCCGATTTTTAGGCGATTATGATTTTTGTTGGTGAGGTGGCATCCTACGTGGTAAGGGCAAGAATGTGTTATAGTGCTCCAATGAAAAGTAATCACTCTTGAAAATCAATACCAAACAATCTAGAAAATGATTTCTAAAAATGGGTTGACATGGAGGAAATGATACCAAATGACAAACAAATAGTGATATATGAAAAACCACTAATTTCAATAATCATCGATTTTAAAAAAATTAGGTATGAAGAATCATCATCAATGCCAAACATCACCTAATAAATTGCCAAAAAAGGTGATGCGTGAAAATGGATGATTTCAAGAATCGATTTTTTGGCCCATTTCTTAAAAATCACCAAATTTGGCCAACCAAATAGAAATTTCAATGCCGATTCCTCTAAGTTTCTAACATTGATGTAGAGATGAAAAATGGGTTGTGCTGGGTTGACATGGCATGGCCAGCGGGTCAGGCTGGCCCGTGGGCCGAACCGTGGACCGGGCCAAAGTTATTTATTTAAAAAATTGAAAAAAACTTAAAAATTTAATTTTATATGAATTTTGGTATATATAATTACTTATATATGCAATAGTTAAATAAAATAAAATAATATATAATATGGATCATACCGGCTCATGCTATATAAAATTTTAATTTTATATGAATTCAGGTGCCATGGGACGGCCATGCTAACTCGCGGGCCATGGGTAGCCTGAAACCCCAAACTCAACACGGCCATACAATCATGCTAGGCCATGACACGACTCATGGACCATTGGGCTGGGCCGTGCTGGGACACGGGGGCATCACCCGATTTATCCCTGAATGACGAAGAGTGATTTTGAAGAAATCATCATTAATACCAAAGACGGTTAATTTGATAGTTTATTATATAAGATCGATTAATGATTGATTCAAAGCTGGTCCACATCTGTCCCGAAAGAAGACCCGACCCATTGACAGCTCTATCAAGACCCGAGCTGACTATATAAAATTAATACATGTTTGTTTTTTTATTGCCCCACTTTATTACATTTCCTCCTCATAATAATACTTGTATAATTGTATTACAATCAAGTTATCGTTTCCAAATGTGTCGATAATTTAACATTCTAACTTAACAAACCTATGTGTTCTCAACACTAGATTGTCAATTATAATCGGGTCAGATCCGCTAGTCCCGTATAGTAATTGGCTTGGTTGATTATACGACTGATTTGGATCCGAGAAATGAATGTATGGTCAATCATGACGCTTCTCCCATGAGATGTATATTTTAATTTGCCACATCATTCTCCTACGTGGCGGAAATATGGTTTGGTCGTGTAGAAACATTCTCTTCTTGACCCGTCCAGTAAAGCTTTATCGGTTTATCCTATTTAGAACACAGAGATGTTCGAAAATGGGGGCCACATAGCTCCTTCAGACGGTGAATAACAAAACGTTTGGATGACGTGGGCAAATCTCTACCGGCCGAGACTGGTGAGTAGTGTTTGTCTTCGTTGTGCAGTTGGTACTTGGTAGGATACAATTTTCCCCATCCCCATCATTCAATTCTCTACACGAACAATGCTCCTCTTTAGTCAAGCATTAACAACCCCCCCACCCCCCCTCCATCGATTTAATATTTATCGTGCCAGATCCGATTACCTGTCTCGCAACCTACCAAAAGAATTTATCTCCAAAAAGTCAAAACCATATATATATCTCAAATCTCAATGTAATTTTGAGATGTAAAAGATCAAATGGGCTTTAGCCCATGTAGATTTTTATCTGCCGAAAGCCCAAAAGAAAATAGGAAATATTTAAATCCGTCGCCCCAAGTCCGTGACTCTCTGATCAGATAATGGAGCAGGTAGAATCGGGCTACAACTACGCCAACAAAATTGATTTACATTGATCTCCGCAACCAAACATAAAGCTCCAATCTCTCCTGTCTTGTGATTTACATTAACCAGAGCGACAACTCGCAATCCATGGGGTTCCATTAATAGTCCCTGGTTTCAGCTGTCACCCTGTCACGTCTCCATGGTTTACCCACTTCAGAAGTTAACTTCAGTTGAACGATGAAATGACCGGAATGCCCTTCTTCCCCCCTCCTGTGGAGACTGGAGAGGAATTGTGAAACAATTATAATAATCCAAGGTAGGTGCAGAGACAGACAATCATTCCAATGTCTCGGGGTTCCGCTTTCCTTGCCACTCTGACAACTCAGAAAAAGTCATCACAGAACATTTCTTCCCTAAAAAGGCTCAAAGGCTCAAAGCAAAGCTAAAACTCTATCTGTCTGTAACTTCACAGAGACTCTAGACTCCAGAGAAGGACCGAAAGAGGGAGTCCTCAAAAGGGTAAACAGGTTTCCTTCGTTTCGGCGCCTTCCCAAGTGATAAACAGGGGAACCGGCACCTAGTGGCGAGAAATTGAACTTGTCAATAGTGCTTTTTAAGTTGGGGTTCTGGGCTTTCTTGCTTGTGCTTGATCATGAAATGAGCACCTCCAAGTTTATCAAGTGTGTTACAGTCGGAGATGGAGCTGTTGGGAAGACTTGCCTTCTCATCTCTTACACTAGCAACACCTTCCCTACTGTATTGGCTTGTTTTCGCTTCTCTTCTCTTTTCAGTTTTCATCTCCCCGTCCCCTCTGTCTCTGTGTAACTTTTTCTTTCTCTTGGCAGGACTATGTTCCAACTGTTTTTGATAACTTCAGTGCAAATGTTGTGGTTGACGGCCAGACCGTGAATCTTGGGCTCTGGGATACTGCAGGTACAATCTCTAAATTTCTCTGTTTTTACAAAATTATAACTTTCACTTCCGACAAAATATTTCCCTCATCCTCTTGGTGCCTTCTTGACCCTGTTATGAAACAATAGTTCTGTTCGTGTTTGATGTTCTTTGTTGGGTTTCTTCCAAACATTTTAATGGGATCTTCTGATTGGGGGGAAGGAGATTTTTCCAGTGAACATTGGAGCCTTGGAGGAACTTCATAAACACAAAATAGTTACTCATAAGAAAAAAGGAAAGAGAAAACGGGTCCCACTAATTAATAAGGTTTTGAACATTATGCATAAACATGCAGCAACACTATTTCTCTTCTTTAATCAAGGAGGTTACATGTGAATCTTTTGCATATCTTCTGAAACATCATTTATGAACTATAATTTGGTTTTTGAGGTTGGTGTGGTTCTAGAGATTTACTTTCTTGTCCTTTTCCTGTTCTTCAAATTACAGATATCAATTACCTCATTTCCTGGTTCTAAATGTCTGCATTTATTTATTTGTGGAGTTGTATCAGTCAACCTAAATGTAGTTCTATGTAGTAATTAAGTATGCATGATGCAACACAGAAGGTGCACACGTATTGCAGGTTTTCTTTTTTTTTTCTTAGAGATTTTGGTTTGCATTTCTTCCAGGTCAAGAAGACTACAACAGGCTAAGGCCTTTAAGCTATGGAGGGGCTGATGTTTTCCTTCTTGCTTTCTCCCTCATCAGCAGACCTAGCTTTGAAAACATAACAAAAAAAGTAAGCCTGCATTCTTGTCTTGTTTCCTTTTATCCTTTTTTTTTTTTCTAAACAAAGGTAATTCTGATTATCTTTTCCCCTCTTTTTGGATTTGTGCCCTTATGTTATGTGGGAGAAGTGGGTCCCAGAGCTGAGACATTATGCCCCTTCAGTGCCCATCGTGCTTGTGGGCACCAAACTAGGTAATGCATTCATTCTTTCTACATGATTCACCATTTTCTGTAAACAGATAATATACCTCAACCACCCATTAGCTTTTTATAAAAGTATCCCAGTTTTTAGTTATTCTGTGAAAAGGACCTAGAAAGTGTTGTAAAATAAGTAATATGGATGCCCGACGCCATAGTAATAACAATAACTCGAAGGAGGGGATGCCTTTCTATGTTTATTCACAAGATGAGAAAACATGTAGAGAAAGCATCCATGGAAAATATATACTATTAAAATAGTTCATATTTTTTCGAATTCTAACTTTATATTCTGCAAAAAGAGGGGTCTAAATGTAACGTTTGATATAAAAATAGCATTCATCTTGTACATTAGCTGTTCATTTATGTCCAAAAGGCTAGGACATAGAAAGGAAATGTTATATTGATAAAAAAAAAAAGAAAGGAAATGTTGCATAGAACTGACCTCAAGAATTTGTGGAATGTTTGACTTTGACACACGTTTGACACCAAAATGTCATCTACTTAGAAGAATACATACAACACTGGTTTCACATTTTTCTATTAACTTTTTTTGGATAGACCATAGAGAAGAAGATATAGTTAACCATATTCTGAAACCTGAGTAAATCATGGACAATTTATAGGCCTGCAACTTGGGAAGGCTTGGGTTGAGCATTTGCCAAATTTTGAATGGGCTCATCCTGAGGGGCCTGGCCTGATGCTATGCTAACTCTTCAAGTCTGTTACCCAACTTGCACCCCTAACAATTGAGTTCCCCTACTGAAGGATGACTCACTTATACAAATAAGTAAATAAACAAGAAAAAAGAAGAGAAAGACTCTGGATTTTACTAACATTTTCACATCTTTATTTATTTTAATCCTTCTTTTTGTCATGGTTCATGGTCCTTTGGCTGATAGATTTGAGAGAAGGCAAACAGTTCTACATGGATCATCCTGGAGCATGTACTATATCAACAGTACAGGTAAGTCTGATGCAGTGATCTTTTTCTTTTATGAACTGTAAGACAATGCATTCAATAATAACTAGAGGTGGAAGAAACCATTACTTAATTCTTACTAGATGTAGTTCAAGTTTTCAAGGGATTATTTGAATGTGTTGGAAATTTCACAAAGAACATTTCAGCTAGTTTGGAAACCAGGCAGGCTTGCCAGAAAAAGAGCAACTCTAATAAAAGTTGGCTTGCCAGGACTGCAGAGAAGGTCTGCCTAGAATTGCACCTTAGGAAACTTTGGGTCAGACATGGTCTTGTTTTCATTTGCTTGCTAAGTCGGTGAAAAATGCCAATCTTTAGAAGTTCAGCAGTATCTAGCTAGAGTGGGTTTAGTACTGCTGTTGCTGAACATATTAGAATCAGCCCAACTCTTGTTAGGACTTAGGAATTGGCTGAACCAGATGCTTGATTTTAACCGGGTGATCTAGGTCATAGATGCTCCAATTGTTAAAAAGTTGCTTGCTGCATTTTGGTGAACTGGGTTGGTTGTGTTCTCAGTGGTTCTACTTTTATTTCGGTTCTTTAATGTTTTGGTCCTCTTCATATATCCTACAATGTTTTGGTCTGAAAGTTGAAAACTCAAGAACTGTATGGCAACTCCTGGTTTCTCTTAAACTTGCTTTTGAGGCAAGGTGAATCTCTGATGGTCCCTGGATCCTATGATGTCGGTTGGGACTTGGGAGAATATAAAGCTTCAGCCTGAATGGCTCATTCTGGTGGATTTCAAGGACATGCCAATGACATTACCAACACATTTTTCAGAGGGAGTGTGTTGGTAATGAAGATCAGCAGGGTCCTTTGATGAGGATCTTCAGAGTCCAGGCTGTGGCTTAAGGCCTAGCGAATAGTTGTATTTTCTTTTTAACCATGAGCCAGCCCTTGTTTTAGTGTCCTCTGTTCTTGAACTTTTCAAGGGTTGAGATCTCTAGTCTCACATTTTCTTTATTAACAAAATCCCTTCCTTCAAGCTTTCTTTTGAGGCAGGTTGAAATACTTTGGAAGTTGAATGGGACTATAGGGTTGTATATTGGATAGTTAACTAATTCTGAATCTCTGATGGTCCCCAACGCGGGAGTCGTTAGACCTCACCAGAGTCCTTGAACGAGGATATCCAGGCTGGGGCTTGAAGCCTAGAAAATAGTTGTATTTTCTTTTGAGTAAGAGCCAGCACTTATTTTAGTGTCCTTTGTTCTTGAACATATCAAGAGATGAGATCTCTCTCTAGGCTCTTGTTTTCAATATTAACAAATTCACCTTCATCTAATGTGATGGATTAAAAAAGACTATGGGATTCTCAAATTTTGGAGAGGTGGATGCATGTTTCACTTGCTTGTTCGGTTATGTCTATATGTGGCACAAAAAATAGGTTATACAGATTCTCTATACTAGGTTAAAAATAGAAGCATCTGACCTGACCTTTGCCACTTTGCCATTGCCAATTTAGGTTTTTCCAAAGAGCTGCTAATGATAGTCTTTTATTTTGTCTCACCCTTGTTTCATCCATGTCATGAAACCTACAAAGTTGGGTATAAATGTTTTAGGTAGTTCTTCAATTTATGTGTTAATTATTAGAGAATCCATCAAAATATAAATTGCTTAAATAGCAGAATTTGATTATCTTCTGCATTTAATATGTTCTCTCTGGGGTAAAATTCCCCCACCCCCTCCAAAACAACAAAAGATAAAATTAAATAAAAAACTCTGCGTGTATTTTGTTTATTTGGTGCTTCTTGCTATAATGCATTTTGTGCTTAATGCCTTTGCAGGACTAATAATTTTATTTTTTGCTTGGATTTTCAGGGTGAAGAGCTGAAAAAGCAGATTGGAGCAATGTCATATGTAGAGTGCAGCTCTAAGACACAGCAGGTTATATTTATTTTTTTTCACGCTGAATATAAGGTACTCATCCTGTAGACCAGAAAAAAGTTTCGTCTACTTTGATGGAGGGAATCTCAAGTGGTCGAGACCCTCCAGTTACTCTGATGCAGCAGGTGGTAATCCATATTTTTTTTTTCAAGTGTGCAAAGACGGTATAAAGTCCAAACTGGGTTCATGAACAATGGTCACCATTCCTGAAAAATGAATTATCTATCAAATGGTGGTGCCATCCTGCATGTAATCTCACCACTTGTAGACGATTTATATGGTCTTCTTGATGAGTACTTGATGTGTTTAGTTTTGCTGTTTGTTTGACATGGACAAGGCAATAAAGCTTGAATATGAGGTATTCAGAAGCATTAAACTTTGGTTTGAAATGCAGAATGTGAAGGCTGTCTTTGATGCAGCAATCAAAGTGGTTCTCCAGCCACCGAAGCCCAAGAAGCAGAAGAAAAGGCAGAGGCTGTGCCGTGTTCTTTAGCCAAATTTCCCAAATGCCCTGACTATTAAAGTATTATGGGTAAAACTAAAACTGTAGAAGCTGAAAAGGTCATGTTTGCCCTTGTTTTTTCAWCCTTGAGTAAGTGAGCTTATTGTGTCTTTTTTCCTTGTGGTGGAAAGAAATACACCCTTGTTTTGGTTGTTTGCTTGTTTATTTTGTAACAACAATTTTTTTCAGCTTCAAATGACACAGTAGCAGTAACTCCAGGCAGCTTTTTTTTCCCTCTCTATAGCTTATTTGTAGATGAAAAGGAGATAAAGAACAATTATGCTGATGCTGTGTTCTGAGGTTCTGAAAAAATGATAACTGTAGCCAAAATTTGAAAACTGTAGAAACTGAAAAGGTCTTGTTTGTCCTTGTTTTTTCAACCTTGAGCAAGTGAGCTTATTGTGCCTTTTTTCCTTGTGGTGGAAAGAAATACACCCTTGTTTTGGTTGTTTGCTTGTTTATTTTGTAACAAGATCAATTTTTTTCAGCTTCAAATTACACAGTAGCAGTAACTCCAGGCAGCTTTTTTTTCCCTCTCTGTAGCTTATTTGTAGATGAAAAGGAGATAAAGAACAATTATGCTGATGCTGTGTTCTGAGATTCTGAAAAAAATGATAACTATAGCCAAAATTTGTAAACTGTAGAAACTGAAAAGGTCTTGTTTGTCCTTGTTTTTTCAACCTTGATCAAGTGAGCTTATTGTGTCTTTTTTCCTTGTGGTGGAAAGAAATACACCCTTGTTTTGGTTGTTTGCTTGTTTATTTTGTAACAAGATCAATTTTTTTCAGCTTCAAATGACACAGTAGCAGTAACTCCAGGCAGCTTTTTTTTTCCTCTCTATAGCCTATTTGTAGATGAAAAGGAGATAAAGAACAATTATGCAGATGCTGTGTTCTGAGATTCTGAAAAAATGACAACTGTAGAAGGAATTTGAATAAAAAATCCAGTGGAGGAAGCTTTTCTCTAAGCTATCAGAGCCAGGTTTCGATCCTGGGACCTGTGGGTTATGGGCCCACCACGCTTCCGCTGCGCCACTCTGATTTCTTGTTATTTTGACACAACTTAATTCTGAAAACGTAAAGAAGTTGATGGACAAATTCTAAATGAATAAATTCCTTCGAAGTTTGAAACTACGGAACAACTTTTTTTCAGTAATGCGGAACAACAGCTTTTGAGGTTTACTACTTTCGATGGTGTTATTAGGCTGTTCACAAATAAATCCAAACCGATCAACCTGGCCTGATTCAACCCGAGTTGGTCGGTTTTTCTTCACTACTGGTCGGTTTCGGGTTGTAGAAATGAACAAATTGATAATTCAGTTTGATTTGGTTTTTATATGTGAAAACCAAAATTGAACCGAACTGAATCTAGTTATGTAAAAAAATATAATATTCTGAAAAAATCTGTTAAAATATAAATATTTTAGTTTTAAATAATAAATATATATCTAAATAATATATATTCTGAAATAACAGATATATATTTCCGAAATATACATTTTCAGAAATTAGAAAATATATATTTCGATATATTTGTATATATGTTTTGGTTTTAAATATATATTTCTAGAAAATATATTTTAAAATATTATATATAATATTAATACTTTGACTTCATGTGTATTGTGCAAGTTTAGAGTTGGTTGAAACCTAAATTAACTTAAACCGATTCAAACCGATCAAACCGATTTTACTTAATAGAGGGTCAATTTTGGTTTGGTTTACAGGTAACCCGACCAAATCGAGTTGATTGGAAAAATACTACTAAACCGACTCAACCCGACCTATGAACAGCCCTAGGTTTTGTCTCTTTTGTTGCTTGGTGAAAACTTAGACGGGCCACTAGGTCCAAAAGGTTTCCTATAGCCTGGAAGACAACCTTGCGAGTTGCGACCCTTTTCAGCCATCGGATCGAGGATGACTGAGAACGACCCTTTTGGGGAGACCCAGACCATGGTTCCCAGTTGTTTAATCACGCTGTGATGAAGTTGTCGTGATTCATCCACCACAGGTCCACAGGTCAGATCATGGGTCCCACCTTTCTAACATGCTCTGGTCTAACGGTCATAATTCATCCACCAGTCTGTTTAGGTTCCCGTTTTTACCCTTGAAGGCAATGTTTTAAAAAACGATCCGGAATTGGAATCGTTTTGGCCACTGATTTTTGGATCAATGGTTCGATTGTTCGGATCAAATAGATGGTATGTTTTGATAAAATAAATAAAAAAATAAAAATAATTAAAATTTATAAAATGGTTAAAATCGTTGAACAATTCGACAAATTGATCATTCGGGTCAATGAATTGTTAATCGATTCAATAATTTTTAGTAAGGAATCGAATTTGGGGTAAAACGGAACCAGTTGCCTAAATGGCTCCTGGGTCGAATGGTTCGACTGTTTGGATCAATTGCGATTCGAAAACCATACTTGAAAGCAATAAATGATACAGAAAGCTTCGTTTCATTTTCACAATTAATATAATTAAAATTCCTATTTTTTTGATGGGTATATATTAATGTATTTCTGGAGAAAAAAAATAAAACAAATGAAGCAGTGAATTTGGATGATCTTTTTATACAAATAAAGCCGTGAATTTTAAAAGTGGCATTTGTTCAATGAGCAGGTTAAATATACATTTAACCCTGTTCAATTCAATTGCAATTTTTTTGGTATAAATAATCTAATTAGGATTTAATAAATTAAGATGGTTGGTCACGTAAAAAGAAGTGATATTACACTTTGAAGGGGATGAAAAGGTTAAAGAACGAATCAAGGACATGGTCTTAAATAGTAATGAAATGATAATGATTTGAGTGTTCATAATTTTAACATAGCATGTGACTATATGATGGAATTGTAAAATGGGAAATCTGGTTTTGAATTCGAGATTTGAAATAATTGAATCAAATTTGGATAATTTGAATATATAATCGGTCGAATTTGGATATGACTTAATCTGATTCGATAAATATCCAAATTCGATCAATTATTTAAGTCTTATATATAATATATAAAGTATTTAAACGTTTTATATAATTTATATATAAAATAATTAAATTATATAAATAATTTATATATTTATATACTTTATATAAATAAAATATTTATTTTATATATTTATTAATTACCAAAATAATTAATTGGTCAAATTTGAATTGAATCAAATATTCGAATATTAAATTGAATTTGAATTCAAATATTAATTTCAATATCTATCGGATATCGAATTTTCTAATTGGATTCGAATTGGATATTGCCTGATGCAGTTCAAATTTGAACCGTTTACACCCCTAATTCATGTAGCTTACCCCATGTAGTTGTGATGATGTATTTATAAGTCAAAAAGCAAGTAATTTATTGATAAGTATTTACTTTTTTTTTTTAATTCCAAAAAGTGCACAAAATGGATTGAGATAAGAAAATTCAAATTTCAATAAGACCTAAGGGTTCGTTTGGTTTGCAATTAGAATCAAAGTGGTCTATTCCCATAGCCTGTTTGGTTCATAAAAGAATTGGAATTAGATTTCATTCCCATGACGGTGGGAATGGGGGAATGACCATTCCTTCAAATGGGAAAATGGAATTCTGATTCCACCCAATCAAACAGTTGGAATCAGAAAGAACAATTCTGACTCCGATTCCAAACCCCTATTCCCACAAACGGGCCCTAAATGTAGTCCAAGACACTCTTAGGTCCCATCATATTCGTATTTATGTTTTGATTAATCAAGATCAGATTTATACGGACAATTCCCATAAAATCCGATCGGAGATATGTGTTCAAGGTTAACCCCTTTGCATGACTAAAAAGTTTAGGGGTTAATTACTCTATTTTTCAAACACAATTTACACAGAAAAGTATTTTGGTTTTCGTTTTAAGTAATCCAACTTTTGGAAAATTATTTTCTTCGAAGTCTAATGAGGCAAGTTTATTAAATTACGTGCAAAATTACAATCTCTCACAATACAATTTTAGAGGAAGGATGGATAAAATAAGACCTGGTCAGGACATGTAAAATGGATAAGTCATGCTTAACATGATGTGCTGAATGAATATATATGTTCGAGAGTTTCATCTTCACCACTATACCTGTTCAGGGCCGGGTAGTCCGACAGGTTGGCTCGGTTCGACTCGTTTTAAATTGGGTTTTGACAAAATTTTAAGCACATGTAGACCTGTTCATGGGCCGGGTTGGGCCGGGCTCGGGCCAGGCTTTAACTCTTTATTAACAGAAAAATGTTAGGCCCAAGTCCGAGCTTGGCCCGACCAACGGGCCTACAACTTGGGCCCAAGCCCGGCTCTGATAAAAAGCCCAAAGCCCGACTTAATAAAAGAAATTCGAATTTTTTCCTATTCAAATAGACATTATCTATTTTAATTCAAATGTTTTTTCCCCTATTTAAATGAACAATGGGCCTACAAGTGAATCAACAACCTTCTCAAATCAAAAAAATTATTCAAATGGACATCACATGGGGTTTTTACTTAGGTTTAACTATAGGTCAGGCCGGACCGGGCTATTTTGGCAAAGCCCGAGCCCGGCTCGAATTTTATGTGGGCCAGGCTTTTTGGCCCGAGGTTAAACCCGCAGGCCAAAAAGCCTGTTCAAGGCCCGGCCCATGAACAGGTCTAAGCACATGGGCATAGGTTCGGGTCTAAAAAATGGGTCCAATTATTTTTTGGGCTGGGTTTGGGCTTTTCCAAATAAGCCTGATCCGATAATATTAAATATATAATAGAAATTTAATATATATGTTAATAATATATAATGTATATTATATGATAATAAAATTAATAGCAAAAAAGTATTATATATACTAAATGTATAAAATATTATATAACATATAATACATTATTAATAATATATAATTAATATGTTACAAAATACTTATCAAAGTCGGTCTTCGGGCTTTATATAGGGATGGGCTTGGGCTCAAGATCTAGGCCCGTTGGTCGGGCCAGGCTCGGGCTTAGGCCTAGTATTTTTTTGTTTATAAAGAGGCAAAGCCCATCCCAAACCCAGCCCGACCCATGAACAAATCTATTCACCACCACATAAATGGATTGAATCGCACGGTTGGAAAATTGGACTCGATCGGACAGTCAGGCTGGTTGAACCATAAACCAGTCACAGACCCAATTTTGGTTTTGGACCCGTCCAAAACCATCTGACCTGGGTTTGGACCAGACGAATAGTCTCGAAGATCGGCAGCCAAAATAGTTCTATTTCTGATCCGATTTTCAAAACTGTGTGAGTGTTACATGTTTGAAATGCCAAAATCCCTTCTAAGAGATGCTTCCCAAATGCAGTCTCAAAAGAAATGGTTGCCCCTATCAGGCCTAGTTCATTTGCATCTTTGCAACTTACCCACGTTCTTTTGATTTCCAGGATTCCCAGGTAAGTA